ATTGTGTTCAGGTGTATTACCGCCAAGGGATTCTCTTTCTATTTTAGCTTGTAGCCCATCAATGCTAACTAAAACTAAAAACAAAATAAACAAAAACTACCTACACCCAATTAAAGCTAAACCCTTGGAAAAGAACCGTGGCCTAAAGAAAAACCAAAGGAGAGTTACTACACTACTTAAAAATAAAATAAAATAAAACTTTTTGGTATTTTCTCTAGAATAACTTCCCTCAAGAATATTATCTAACGGATCCGTCATCAGGAAGAGTCTATATATCCCCCCCTTGCTTGGTTGATTTATGATCACGCCCAACTATGTCTTCTAAAAGACAAAGCGATCGCTGCAAATATAATCCGGTTTTAAGTCCGGAGTCGAATCCCTAGGGAACTAACCTATCTATTACAACTCTTTGCCAATGCTATTATCAACTCAACCTATTTCTAGATGCAAGATTTTTATCAATCAATCTTGGGTTTTTGTTTAACTACTTCAAATAATATTAGAAATAACAATATGCTAGATTAAAGATAATTCAATGGTAAAAAGGTCTAGGGTAGTGATTTCCCCAATTGCTAGTTTAGGTCTTGACTCCTTCGCTATAATCTCGTCGTAATACTCTATGAGGATTAAGAGCTATGGGTTATCGTAATTATCTCTCGATCAACTACGATAATTTACTAGAGCATTCTCTCGAACTACTCTAGCTGACAATATGTTTAGCTCTAAATTGTCCCACCAAAGTTTCGTTATCTCTAAACCCACTTTTAAATTCAAGTAATGAATCTCTTCAATTACCCAAAAGTGGTGTTGTTCAACAGCAGTCTAACCTAATATTCTTTCTCAAGCAATATAAAGCAATTAGACACGATTAATCAAGGGCCCATTCATTGAATCACCATACAAAACGTAGTTGAACAATCATATAATAATTCCGGCTCGATTATAACAAGTTGAGTCAAAACTTCAACCAACAATTGGTTCCATCAACCCTAAATCAATTGTTTAGCTACTCATAACAAAACAAGACAAAACTACAAAGTTGTTCATAAGGGTTTGGAATAAGTTTTCCCCGAGTTACACTTTGGTCCCCAATTTTTTTGGCATCTGCACAGTTCACCGCGGCCTCGGCGCGACCGTGGTGAAGGCTAAACATTCTTCCTCGCGTTAGTTGTCTACCGCGGTCTAACCGCGATCGCGGTGGATTTCACCTCAGTCCATTTTTGCTTCTTTATGCTCGGGTGCTTCTTGATTGGAAGTTTTCTTCACATTATTGACTCCAAAATACTCCGTACTGCTTCCTAACTTAGATTATTCCCTGCGAAGCAAAAGAACACCAATTAGAGCATTTTGTTATCAATTTGCCTATAAAACAACAATAAAGCATGGTAATATTAAGGTGTAAATATCATCTATATAGCCTAATATCAATTTACAGGAATTATAAATGCGTTCTTGTTGATTCTAACTCCATACACATATAGGCGTTAGGTTAGCTTGAATAGGCGAGTAAGAACTCGACAGATTCGTATGAGCAATATTAACCCTGTCAACCAATAAACTAGATAAATTAATTAGTTAGTTCAATTGAAGAATATAATAGAATTATTAGATAGCCCACAACCCTAGATCGTTTTCATCACATTGATAACATAAAAATCTGCTCTTCCTCTATTCAAAGATCATTATTTGTTTTCCTTTATTTTGATTAGTCTAGAATCTAATATTTCTAGGTTTAATTCTTGTTTAGATAACTAGGATAGTCTAATTTAGTTAATTGTTAATCACAAGTCCTCGTGGATTCGACATCCGACTTTTAGTCACTTTATTACTTGACGACCGCGTATACTTGCGTGTGCGTTTGGCCGCAACAAATTTTTGGCGCCGTTGCTGGGGACTTAGAATTGGCTATTTTTTTAGATTAGACTTTTACTTTTATCTTTACAGGTTTTATTTTTTTTTCTTTTTGTAAATATTTTTAATTTTATAACTATTTGAGTTTTCTCTTAGTGTGTTTCTAGTTCTCTCAACATGACATTTGGGGATATAATATCCGAAGATAATGTTATTGATGAAGACGCTTGGTTGACGGAAGACTTTTATGGCCCGTCTTTTTGGTCTTGTCATGACCCGAACTCTGGGAGGTCTGAATTTGAATATGGGAGTAAGGGTTGGTATTTGGAAGAATATTCACGATTAAGGGAATATGATGAACGACGTTATCTTCTAACAAAATTGGTGAATGATTGGGCGAAGGAGAGAGTTGATCTTGCACAAAAAATTGACAAATTTGGCTTGGCTTTGCACAACTTGGATGCAGATTTGAGTGCAAAGGTTGATGCGTTCGACACCCAACAATTTATTGATGAGTTGTGTGAAACTGAAAAAAATCTTCTAGACCAAATTGAGGAGCTAAATCGAGAATACCAAGCATTAGACCATATTTTTATTGAGGATGTCCATGTTGAGAAGAGTGTTCTAGATCATATGAGGGAGTAGATAATGTTATATTTGAAGACGCTAGTGCATGTAAATATGAGAATGTAAATAGTAATACAATTCCAAAGTTGGGGCGTGTTGGTCCTCATTCTAAACATTTTTCGACATTGTGTTTGGATGATAACATGGAAATCGAGTCATCTGAACCTTTGGAAGAGTCAATGGAAGAGGAACAAGCTGCTTACATTCTTGGATTTGTCGTGGCAGAGAGAAAAAATTACATTCCTCATATAAAGGCCGAGAAGTATAGAGTGAAAAACTTATTACTTGGCCTATTTATTTTTGTATCCCCACCAAAGGAGCATAGCCAAAGACCGGATGCCATGTTAGGGGTACAATTCATAAGTTCGAGGTGTTAGAAAAAGTGGTTCACGTCGTGCCACGACGTTAAATTAGGCGCTTGTTGGGAAGCAACCCAACTTTATTGCTTTGTTTTATTTTATTTTATATTATTTTATATTATTTTTGTAGTATTATTTTATTTTGTAGGATTATTGGTATAGTAAGCAAAGCCATTGGAAGAGTCCAACATCAAGCTAGCTGGTGAAAACTAAGTGTGGGGTGCTCACACAAAGGACCATACCTGGGGGAAGTCTGAGTATCCGTGAGCCGCTATTGCTTCGGCCTTTGGCCTTTCAGGGAGTTTGTTGTCCACCCTCGTTATTGTTTTATTTATTTGTGCATTGGGACACTGTACTCTTTTAAGTGTGGGGTGAGAGAATTTCTCTAGATAATTATTAGTAGTATGTTAGAAAAATGTTAACTTTTTATTTTTGTTTTAGTAGTTGTGTAGTATTTTAGTAGCCCCTAAAAAAAAATCGGAATTCTTTTTTTTAGAAAAATTGGATTTTCCCAACGATGGATATCCTAGACAGTTTTCTTGAGGGATTTAAGTCTAAAGAAAAAGGACAAAAAAGATTTTCTTTGTAGGTAGTGTAGTAATTCCCCCATGGTTTTTCTTTGTGCCGCGGTTCTTTTCCAAGGGTTTTGTTTGAACCGGGTGTAGTTAGTTTTATTTTTTTAGGAATAGGAGCCATTGTGCTATGAATTGAATTGAAGCAATATCTCTTGACTTTGTTATGCTTTGAGAATAGTGAGTACTTTGGTTGTGACGCTTAGGCTCAGTTTTTGACTCTTGTAGAAGTACCTTAAATTGTATGATCTTAACTTTGCTTAATTGCTTTGACTAGAGTGTCTTGATGAGTCCAATCCTGAGTGAGTTACGTGCCATGTGTGTGAGATTTCTGTGTTATTCTGTGCATTGCATTTGATGTCTAGAACTTTCTCTATGTGTTTACAAAGCGAAATAGTAGTTTTGTTTAGTCTTGGAAGTGATAGAGGCGTTTCTTTGTTGAGCCAGATATGTGTGTGTGTGTATATATATATATATATATCCTGTTTCTTTGGCAACCACATTACAAGCCTTACCTATTTGTTTGAATTAACCATATCTTTGAACCTTTTCACCTCTCATGAGCACTTAAATTGTAATGAACTTTGTAAAAGTTAAAGTAGATGTTGGATTGGCTTTTGAGTGGAACTAATGAAATAAGGAGAAAGGTGCACTATTTTGAAAAAGTAAGAGTCACTTGAATTAAAAAAAGGAAATAGTGGTTTTGTTATGAAAAATATTTCTTGATAGTGGTGACTCTTGATTTAATTGCGCTTAAAGAAGTATGGAGTTAATATACATTGATGTGAAGGCGGAGTTATGGATTGACCTAAGTATGTGGTTTGAATGTTAAAGTGTATGTATTAAAGTGCTCAGGGAGGTGTAGTCACTATTAAATCTAAATGTATCATACATGTCCCGCAGCCTACATTACAACCAATTAAAGTCCTACTTGATCCTAGACTGAATGAGCTCGATTAGTAGAGTAGTACACTACGGGCAAGCCTATGGTGCATCTTTTGTGGCATATGAATGTTATTTCTGAGAGTGAGTGACTTCTTTCTATCCTGAGTTCCTAATTGTTCTTAAAGTTTATTGTGTGTGGAACTACTCTCTTTTGTTATGTGAGGGCACTTGATTCATGAAGGAAAGATAATGTCATTGACCTCTATGTTAGAGTAAGTGAGTGAGTTGTGAATGATGCATAGTACTTGTGAGTCAAATTTTGAGGTGAAGAAGTTACACTATTGTGCGTAGTCTATTTTAAATATTCTTGGTATGATGAGTTAGGAAAGTCGTTTAAAAAGGCCGTGTCTATATAAAGTGTAGTTTGATTTCTCGAGGACGAGCAATGGGTTAAGTTTGGGGTGTAAGAGACTGTAGCAATCCGATTTCAACAAAATTTTCACAAGGCAGCGAAGTGAGTCGAATTTCTCACAAAACCTAAAGTATATCAGAAAATCATACGGTGAAAGCAAAATAGAGTTTTCACGAAACAAAAATCAGAGACAAATCAGAAAGAAAAATGATCTTTCATATATACAAAACTATTTACAAAGATCACTCAGGGTCTTACACAAAAATCCAAAAAAGAAGAAAAAATTCTATGTGCCTAATCTTCCTCGGGAACTTCTTCATCTTCTCCGTTCTCGGATCCGCTCGCGCTCCCAGCGTCATCATCATCAGAGAGAAAAGCTTTGGCTTCAGCCTCTAGCACTTTTGCGTTCTCGATATCGGCAGAAAGGTCAAAACCACGAGCATGAATCTCTTCGAGAGTCTCTCTCCGAGACTGGCACTTGGCATGCTCGGCAACGCAGGATGATCGAACCTGAGCAGCATCGGAAATTTCCTTTGCTTGAGCATTAGCGGCTTCAGCATCGGCTCGGTAGACGGCCACGACCACATCCGCATCGGCCTTTACTCTTTTTGCTTCAGATGCGGCCTTTTCAAGATCAGCGGACAACCGAGTCTCGAGCTCGTCAATTTTCTTGGCTTGGGCCAAGCTCTCTTCTTTCATGCTTTAAAGTTGATTCTCAGCCAAAGATAGCTGGGCTCGAGAAGTATCTTTCTCCGAGGCGAGGCGGTCCATGTTCTGTTTCCACCCCAAAGTCTCTGCCTCTCTCATCTTAGCCTCCTCGCGAAGCTGCTCGATCTTTTCAGCCTTCTGCTGAACCTGCAGGATCAAAGTGTTAGTCGCCATCCCCGAATAGACACACCAAACTTCTAAGAAAATTCTTCATTACCTGTTCGATCAAGTCAGTCTGCTCTTTGTGAGCTTTGGCCAGTTCAGCTCGGAAGTCCCTGATCTCCTCTTCTTTTTGCCCGCTGAAGAGTTTGAGGGCTTCTCTTTCCTCCATGAGCCTTTTGAGATCGGCCTCACATTGGTTCAGCTCAGCTCGGGATTTGGATAACGCTTCCCGATGAAGCATCACAGCCTATGGAGAAAGGAAGGAAATCAGGTAAAAGGAAATAAAGGCAAACATAAAACTAATAACGGGGCCCGAAATCTACCTGATTCAAGAGTCGATGAGCCTCATCAAAAATGATCGATGCATCTAGATCGGAAACATCATCGACCCCCGTGAAGTAGCCACGGAATTAGTCGTCCCCTTTGTGGGCCGTTCCCACATCGGGGGTCTCCATATCTTGGGCCTCCCGAATTTTCCCCGCAGAAAATATGGGGGGAGGGGGGGGGGGGGCAAATCATCAATGTCGATTGCCCCAAGCAAGACACTTGGGGTGCTCTCTCCTTCTCGGAGGGCCTCGGAAACGGACCTTTCAGGCACACCCGCCGGTTGTTCGTCACGACGAACAGGCTCACTAGCCGATTATTCGTCATGGTGGGAGACATCTTCAGCCTCCGATGACTCGGGACTTTGCTCGAACCATCTTCCGAGATCTCCTCGGTCCGAAGATGAGCCTCATCGACCATCACCGGTTCAGCTGCCTTTGAATCTTTAGTGCTCCCCCTCTTTCGGGCTACCAGCTCATAGTCATCATCTTCTTTCTCTTCTTCTTCATCTCGTAGTTTTTGGGCTACGTCGGCAGGCAGAGCTGCGGTGTCATTCTTCGACTTACGATCCTTGCTCTTCTTAGGCTTTAAAGTATCGGAAGGCGAGGCTCTTCTACTCTTCTTATCCTTAGCCGGTTTCGGGGCCTCCTCTTCCCCAGGTAGGGGCGGCCTCATGATAACATTGTCCCCGAGACCTGTATGAAAGGAAATCATGTAAAAATAAAAATGAAACATTTCACAGAAGGGCATCAAACATGGATAGAAAAGCTTACCGTGATTTTTGGACTCCCATCGGCCCTTTGCCAAATTGTGCCACAAATGCTCAGCGTACGAAGAGGTCGAGGCCAGTTTCCAAACCTGGCCTTCAAGGTTTGGGATTGCACCGTGCACCCAAGAAATCGCTGCATCATAGGAAAGGATGTCAATACAGAAAGACAAAAGAAACAAAACGATAAAGGTAAGCTATAGGTGGGTTTTTACTTATGCTTCATGTTCCACTCTTCACGGAAAAACATCTTCTCGGCCGGAATTATGTCGGAATTCCTCACTCGGACAAACCGGCCCATCCATCCTCGGTTCTTATCCTCATCTATGCTCGAGAACAGCACCTTGGTGGCCCGACGCTGAAGCCTTATCAGTCTGCCTCGATAAGGACGGGGGATGTACATTCTAATAAAATGATCAAGGGTAAAAGGCATCCCCTCAACTTTGCTCACGAAGAATCGGAGCAAAATAAAAATGCGCCAGAAGGAAGGATGGATTTCGCCCAGGGTTATTTGGTATAGGCGGCAGAAATCGAGGATAATGGGGTCAACGAGACCCAGTTTTTAAAAGGGTATGTGTAAACACTCAAGAACCCTTTCACGTGGGTGGTGATGTCCTCTTCGGGGGTCAGAATCAACACCTCTTTACCTTCCCAATGGCAATCCTTTTTCACTTGCTTCAGGTCACCCTCAGTTATCGAGCATATACATCTCGACATCGACTCACATCGGCTAGGGACCGAAGAGGTTTTCTCGATCTTGAAATCGAAAATAAGATCGCATAACCCAGGAACACACTCTTCGATGCGTGGCTCCACCGGCATTTTATCGCTGGCCGGTCGCGAAGAAGAGGCTTTTTCCTTTTGAGGAGCGGTTTTTGATGTTTTTGCCATTTTTGTACAAGTTCAGAGAAAGAAGAAGTTAAAACTTGTTGTTTGAAGAGAAGGTTGACAAAAGTGATTTGAAGATTTGGAAAACTTGAAGGGAGAATAAGTGCTCTGAAGATTAGAAGAGATTTTGGAAGTAAAGTTTGCGAAAATTATGAATATGATCTATTTATAGTATTTGAGATGACGGTTCAAAGGCATTAGTGGCCGACCATCAACTGGCACGAATTAATGATCTTGAGAACTGTGCAGACGCGACGCTTCAGTCGCCTTCGTCGCTTATGTCACGAGGATGACATCATAATTGGTCGAGTTACAAAATCGAAGGATCAATTTGTTTCTTCTCATTACACTCTAAGAAACGAGGGGACTATTTGTATACGACTATTCAATTGAGACCAGGAGATAACGACGAAGGTCAGCCTCGCAATGAATCAGGCTATAACGCGAAGACGAGGTGTCGAGTTCAAAAATCGAGATGTCCGTCGAGACCGAGGCCAGCAACAATTGAGATTAAGTATGACCAACTTCGAGTGAAGTGCAATAACGGATAGGCGAGATATCCGCAACCGGTCGAAGATCACGGCGAAAATCTCAGAACAGATCGAGTCAAGGGCGGTTATTTGCACCAATCATGAGATATACTTCCGTAATTAGAATTGTACCATAATTAGGATTTCTCTAGTATATAAAGGGGAGTCCCCATCATTTGTAAAGGCACAACATTCACGAATATCAAAGTAATATAATAGTTCTCAGCTCACTTACTTGTTCATCAGCTTATTGTGTCTTTAACTATGCATAACTAGTTCGAGGGTGTCCGAGCTTGAGGGCTCTATCCAAACACTGGTTTGCTTTATATCATTGTAAATTTTGCGTCATTTATCTTTGCGTTCATCAATTGATATTAGGTGAAATCACATATCCTTAAAACCATATTATAAGTTTAATTGTTATCCAGTTTTTAGGGTAAACAATAGAGAAATCTAATCGTACTTGTTAATATTTTTTGTATACGGTAGAAATCGGGGCTACCCGATTTCATTCTTTGATTGAAAAAGAGATACCACGTCGAAAGGCCAGGACGTCGAGTCCGGGATTGAAGTTGCTTTCCAAGATTGAGGTCGACATCACTAATCGAGGTCAGGAAAGGGCATACTTCGAAATGATGCCGGTATAGTTCAGTAACCAAAGGAGGGAGATATCCATGACGGATCGAAGATCATGGCATGAATTTCGGAATGGATTGATCTTCGGTGGTTAATCAGTTGTCAATATCAACTATAATTAGAAGTGTACCTTGTTTAGAACTCCTCTATTATATAAGGAGGAATCCCATTCATTTGTAAGGATGATTACTGACTAATAAGAATACACACATCCACAACTCTTTTTATCTTGCTTACCGTTCATTACTGTTCATCATTGTTGTTCCATTTCTTTACCGTTATTATTATAGATCCATCTCAAGACCGCCTTGAACGAGGTTGAGACTCCACTCATTTGATCTATCCTATCTATAATTTGTCTATTTGATTCCTTATTTATCAATTGGTATTGGAATGAATCACATATTCTTAAAACCACAATATAAGTTTAATTGTTATTCGAATTTTAGGATAAACAGTTTGGCACCCACCGTGGGGATAAGGATAATAGTGATTGTTCAGTGGTGATTCTAATAACACACATTATTTCACGCTTGTTCTTGTCAAGTATTTTTGCTCTCAGGTTAAAACATGTCAAACTCACAAAACGCACCCACACATGGTGATGATGGTCTCGGGTTTCACGGGGAAAATGACAATGTAATTGATTCAGGAGTTGGGGTGCCACCGGCTAATCTCAGGGGAGCACCGGTTGCCAATCCAGTCGATGTCAGCTCGCACATTGCTCTAAATACGGACCTAGGCATGGACCCCGAAGGGAGCGTACACAGGGAAGGCTGTTCTGGTGGTCAAGGTACACATGGTAGAGGAGACGGAGGAGTTAGTCTCCAGGTGATATTCGAGATGATACAGGCTCAGTAGGCCGCTATTGCTCAGCTAAAAAATCAACATAGAACTCTGAGTGGGGTTGAGCCAAAAATCACTTGTCGTACCGAGCCAGTGCCAGCGAGGTCGAATAATGGAACGGATCGGGGACTGATCCTGCAATAATGAAAATGCTCGAGGAGCTCACCAAGAGAATCGATTTAGGAGAGAAGAAAATCAAAGATAATGATTAAAAAGTGGAGATATCCAACTCTCGAGTTGATCAGATGCCGTTGGCACTGCCAATCTTGAAAGGGATGGATTCGAAGAAGTTTGTACAAAATCTGTTTCCTCTAAGTGCGGCTCCGAAGCCTATTCCAAAGAAGTTTCGTATGCCAGACATACCCAAATATAATGGGACCACCGATCCCAATAAGCATGTTACTTCATATACATGCACCATCAAGGTTAATGATTTAGAAGATGATGAAATCGAATCTGTGCTGTTGAAAAAATTCGGAGAGACCCTTTCGAAGGGAACAATGATTTGGTATCACAACCTGGCACCAAATACTCATTTGCCATGTTAGCAGATTCTTTCGTAAAGGCACACGGGGGCCATAAAGGCCGCAACAAGAAAATCAATCCTTTTCAAGTTAAGAAAAAGGGATAATGAAATGCTGAGGGAGTTCGTATCCTGATTACAAATGGAACGTATGGAGTTGCCATCGGTCAGAAATGATTGGGCCGTTCAAGTTTTCACCCAAGGGTTGAACGAGAGGAATTCGATAGCATCACATCGATTGAAACAAAATTTGATCGAGTATCCAGCTGTAACTTGGACAGATGTGCACAATCGATATCAATCAAAGATCAGGGTCGAGGACGACCAATTATGAGCCCCTTTTGGCTCGGTACATGCTAACAGGTTGGCAGCTAAAACCCAGAGGGATGTCGACGGGGAACCAAGGTCGAACAGAGAACGATATCAACCATACACCGCAGATCGAAGGAACAATGGTTCAGGATGCAATTATGCCTGGAATGATCGAAGATGTGATCGACGACAGAATTCTCGAGGACTTATGAGCAAAAGTGGTTTTGATAAGCATGCCGATCCCACAGAGGCACCTCGGTTATCGGAATATAACTTTAGTATTGACGCATCGGGCATGGTATCGGCGATTGGAAGGATCAAAGATACTAGGTGGCCCAGATCCATACAGACCGATCCTTCCCAAAGAAACCCAAATTTGATGTGCAAGTACCAAGGCACGCATGGTCACAGGACCCAGGATTGCAGGCAATTAAGGGAGGAAGTAGCCCGTCTATTCAAATGAGGGCCACCTTCGAGAGTTCCTCAGCGATCGAGCCAAGAATCATTTCAGAGAAAGGGACGACAACAGGAAAAATGAACAGGAGGAACCCCAACATGTCATTCATATGATCGTCGGTGGGGTCGACATTCCATAGGGACCCATATTCAAACGCACTACGGTATCAATCACTAGGGAAAAACGAACTCGAGATTATGTGCCCGGAGGCTCCTTATCATTCAACGACGAAGAAGCAGAAGGCATTTCTCAGCCCCACAACGACGCTCTGGTAATTTCTATCTTATTAAATAAACTTTAAGTTAAGCGTCTTTTAGTGGATCCAGGTAGCTTGGCGAATATCATCCGATCGAGGGTAAAGGATCAGCTCGGCCTACAAGATCAAATCCTACCCGCAGCTCGGGTCTTAAACGACTTCAATATGGCTAGTGAAACAACTAAGGGGGAGATTATTCTACCGGTGAACGTGGCTTGAACCATTCAAGATACCAAGTTCCACGTGATCGAGGGAGACATGAGGTACAATGCCCTACTCGGAAGGCCTTGGATCCACAATGAGGCCAATCCCTTCGACTCTCCACCAAATGATGAACTTCCCGACGTCGGACGGTATAAAAACAGTATATGGGGAGCAACATGCTACAAAGGAAATGTTTGCAGTCGATGAGGTAACACCGATATTGACGTTGTCAACCTCAGAAAGGTCGAGCATCAAAGGTAAAGGGGAAGCCAAATAGCAATCACAGCCAGTGGCCTCGATTGAATCGGGGAAGCAGGAGATAGAAGAAGAAGAGGAGGATTTTCTGACACCTCGAACTTTTATTGTTCCCGAAGATTCTGACTCCACCAAATCAACGGTCGAAGAGCTGGAACAGGTTATATTGATCGAGTACCTGCCCGAGCGAAAGGTATACCTGGGAATGGGATTGACCCCCGAATTCAGGAAAAAGCTTATTTAATTTCTTATTGATAAAATAGTTTGTTTTGCTTGGTCCCATTTAGACATGATAGGGATCCCGCTGGAGATAACGACGCATCGGCTAAGCTTGGACCCTAGGTTCAAATCGGTAAAGCAAAAGAGAAGACCTTAGTCCGAGGTAAAGCACACATTCATAAAGAAAGAGGTAACTAAACTTCTCGAAATAGGGTCCATTCGGGAGGTGAAATACCCCGAATGGTTAGCCAATGTAGTCGTAGTCCCTAAAAAAGGGAACAAACTTAGAATGTGTGTAGATTATAAAGATTTAAACAAGGCATGCCCCAAAGATTCTTTTCCCCTGCCTAACATTGATCGCATGATCGATGCCACGGCTGGCCACGAGATCCTTACCTTTCTCGATGCCTATTCTGGGTACAATCAAATTCAAATGAGCTCGGAAGACCAGGAAAAGACTTCATTTATCACCAAGTATGGAACATAATGTTATAATGTAATGCCCTTAGGGCTAAAAAATATAGGAGCTACTTACTAACGCCTAGTAAATAATATGTTCGAAGGACAAATAAGTAAGTCAATGGAAGTTTATATCGATGACATGCTAGTTAAGTCCCTACGCGTAGAGGACCATTTGGCTCATTTGTAGGAAACGTTTGAGATTTTGAGGAAATATAACATGAAGCTCAACCATGAGCAATGTGCTTTCGGGGTCGGTTCAGGCAAATTCCTGGGCTTCATGGTGTCGAATCGGGGGATCGAGAT